GGGATGACAGCCCATGGGATGTTTCAATATAGAGCCACTCAAATGGCTATCCTCCTATGAGGTTAAGAAAACATCCAGGAAAACTGTAAAGTCTCCAGTATAGGAATAACACTGATACTAGGAAAATATTTCCTAGGCCAGCCGCCATCATTCCGCAATGCACCTTGACGGCGGCAGCCTCATGTCCTGAGGACACCTTCTCTCCCTTCCTGCCCCTCCCCACCCTCTCTAATGACTGCCATGGGCCTCGAATGAAAGCCGCAGAAATGCTGTCTAACGCGCTCACACATCTCAGACTCTGTAGAAAGACTTCCGGCAAGTTAACAAGTCAACCATCACACCCCCAGGATATCTGGAGTAGTTTTAAGAGTGTCCCCTCCTGACTCTGGCCACACATTTCACAGACCCCGCTGTTGTTTATTCACTCAGCAAGCACGGACGCAGTGCACTTGCTCCACACAGGGATGCAAGGCCAGCTCACTCTGTGGCACCCGGGGCCGCCCCGCACGGCACATCTTGCAGCTTTCTCTCCCTCCTTCACTGTATGCCCAGGGCCCAGCCCATTTGTTAAACCGAATGCATGCAGTAGGATCAAACAAATTCCCATCCGTGGGATGCTCGCTATGTGCTAGTCACTACAGACATTATTCATGGTCTCTAAGCAGCGAGCCAGCAAGGTACGCACCCAATCCTGTTTTTCACACGAAGACCCTAAAGCTCAACACCATCAGCTCAGTATTAAGAAGAGCCCAGGGCAGGGAGAGGATGAGCATGTTCGCAGAAGGAGCCCCATCTCTCGGGGAGGGCCAGGGAAAGATGCTTCCTGGAGGAGGGGGAAGGGAGGCTGGCCCCACAGCGGCTCACGGCTGCCCAGGGCCCCGCAGCGTGGCTCACAGACGGATGTGCCTCAGACGGCGTGGTGCTCTCCCGCATTGCTCTGGGAGTCTAACCTAAGTGGGGGGGGGGGGCACCTGGTTCGCACTCTCTGTGACATGAGCACCCACGAGCGAGCACTGCCCGGGGCCGTCGGCCGGCCAGCACCGTGCTGCCATTGTGCAGACCGCCTGCTGGTGGCTCAGACCAAGGTTTGCAGCCTGTCGGAAGCAGGAATCCACAATAGAGTCTGAAGCGCAGCCTCAAGCCACACGGGTGTTCGCTCGATATTCACAGGTGCTGCTTCATGCCAGATTCTACGGTCCCAACTCCACCAAGAGACGGGAGGAAACTGTTACTGACATGGCAGCGGTTCGGGTCTCAAGGCTTGAGAAGTTAGTTCTTTTAGGTAAGTCAAGTAAGCTTCCTGAGGCCAGATTTATCCCTCGTTTCTCATTCGTTCACCTAACAAATGCTTTCCTTGAGCACATGATGCCTGCGTCACACCAGCTCACTTCAGAGCACCTGCTCATTTATGAGACTGGGGGGACATCACCGTGGCACCTTTTCTCCCCAAAGGAGCCGTTTTTAGAGCCGAGGAGCTACGGTGGGTGCAGTGTCAGCAGCGGGCCCTCCCGGGGTGCCGACTCTGTGCCAGGCGCTCGGCTAGATGCTCCCTTTATGCCTCATTCACCTGTATAACATCCCGTGTCAGGCCGGTCTGTGTCGCTGTTAAAGATGTGCAACCGTACGAGAGGAGAAAACTGTAGCTCTCCAGCTTAACGTCACTTGCCAACAGAGTTAAATCAAACCAGCCAACCACAAGCAGGCAGCGTCTGTCTCCAGCCCCTGCTCTGGGGGAGGGGTCGCACGGCACCATGCTGCTGCCCGTGTTCCTCCGTGTTCTAGAGACATCTGTGGCCACAGCCCGACAGTCCCAAGGGTGCCTCTCCCAGGACTTCAGGGCTCTGCCTGTTACAAAATGCTTTCTCCACATACTGTCTTACTGGATTCTGAGGACAAGACCATGAGGAAGGCAAGACAGTGATCAAGCACCTTCCTCAACGTGGGAGAAGAATAAACCAGAAGGTCTGGTTTGGCGAGTCTTAAGGGCCATTTTTCCATCCTCTAACAGCCACTGTGTGGCCCGAGATCAGTTCCTCACCCTTTCCCAGGCTCAGTTTCCCCAGCTGTACAATGGGCAGCAAATAACCTTTCAGCATCCTTCCAGCTCTCTAAAATCCAGGTTCTGGGACATTAATTTTTCGCTCAAAGGTGAAAAACAAACCAGTTTTGGCAAGCTTGAAGAATTTCAAGTCTTAACAAATATACGTAAAGTGCGTGGCGGGGGGCAGGTGCTGATCATGAGGAAGAAACGTCTGTATACTTAAATTAATCTTACAGCTTTCACTGACTCTCACCGGACTTCACATCTGAAGAGGTTAGGCAGCAAAATGTGTCTAAGGCCCAAGGGTGGTGAGTTTGGGGTGCTGAACAGCCGAGTCTCCCCACTCCGACTGGAGCCCTGCTCAAGCACAACGGGGCTTTGCTTGACGGCAACTTAGGTCAAACTTCCCTGCATTCTGATGAGGCAGCTGGAGATTCTTGAAAATATTCCTGTACTGACTCAGAGTAATTCCTTCCTCTTTTCCCCTCTGTACTCCTCTTATTAGCGGGGACTTTATCCTGAGTGTCTGCTATCCTAGGATGCCTCGCCGGAAGCTGCCATCCATCCAAGCCCTAAATTCACAGTGTGGAAATGACCACTGCTGCAAGCAGAGACCTGGACATCACTTCCACAGAAAATGAGCAAATCAAACGACAGATTCAAGACGTCCTTGTTTTCATGCAAATGGTTCTACCAGTTCAACAGAATGAAATGGAAAACGCATAAGGGCCACAAAACAGAGGAGAATTATCTCTGCACACAGTGTCAGCTGATTTTCAACAATGTCTTCTAAGATCTCCATTCTAAGCATTACCACTTTTCCAAATATAAGGGCACGCGAGCCAGGCTAGCTGCAGGACACAGGACCCTCCTCGAGCCACTTAGAAAGTCAAGGGGAGCTTGTGCTGCCTCGTCTCTCTACATCTGATGTCCCCCTATGAGCAGCCTGGAAGAGCCCTTGGGTTCTAGTAGAGACGAATTTCTATTCTCAGTGTCAGGATTTTGGGGGGTGGGCCTCGGGGGAAGTAGCCTGTCCAGGGCTGATCACAGTTGCTGCTATGGGCCAGTCGCTGAGCACTTAGCAGCTGGATCACTTAATACATTCGGTCTTTGTTTTCTGGGCCTCTGGTAAAGCGCTAGTTGGAATTTATTCAAGGCAGGAGACAGATGCTTGGCATCAAGTCAGACAGAATATTTTATGGGTTTCTGTGGTCCCTTGAGATAAAATTACAGAAAGGGGTGGAGGGAGGTGAGGCAGCCTCTTGGTCCCCAGGACACTGGTGTCCTTCTCTCTTGTAGACCTTCTCCAAGATTCTCAATTACCTGGAGGTTCTCTGAACAGGTACAGGCCCACCCTGTCTAGACAGGTCATCACTATTATGTTGGTAACCACAATCACGGGATATGAACCCTTCCAGAGTCTTCTTCGATTATTTTATCTGGTCTAAAGGTTCTTTGTGGTCCTCTCTGGGGTACAGAAAGGGAAATCTCTGGTCTTATCTGATTGCTACCCTGATAGGGAAACAGGATTATGCAGAGGTGGGCAGCAAGGCAGTACTCCTACTGTGCTGCACGCATCTGCAACTTGAGCGGTTCGTGTTTGAGTAAGAATGTGAAACCTTATTTATGTACATTCTAGCATACTGTATGGAAGGGTAAGAGAAACACCGGCGGGTCAAACCACTGGCTCACGTGTTGTCACTCTTCCGTTACGGTCGCTAGTTATCTTTGATGAGCGCTGTTTAGGCCAAAACCTTATTTTAACATTTCTCCACTATTTTATGATCTATGAGGCCATTTGGGGTCTCTCTAAGAACACAGCTCCCATTTATAACACTATTTCAATGGAGAATAAGCTCTGAAAAAACACTGTTCTGAATAAAGCTCACATTTCTCAGAAAATAGCCCCAGTGTGATTCAAATAGGCATGGCATTGTGTACGGAGGGGCCCTCGGAACCTGTGTGAGCACGGGCTGAGCACACAGGGAGAAGCCTGCACTTGCCTTCGCTGGCTGAGAGACCAAACCCCAAGCTTCCCCCTGGCTCGGGTGACTCCTGAATGTTGCCATTTCTGCGTCTCAACTCGTCCCCGTAGAGGCGGGAACAGGCGGACTTTCAGAGCGGGGCACTCTCCGTGGATGTGGGCTACGGGACAAGCACTTTGTTGCCACAGACCAGGGCGGTGGGCCATCAGCCCTCGGCCAGCCCAGCGGAGGCACTGGACAATGCACTACACAGTGCCCCTCTTCTGCCTAAGATTCTTCCCAGGTAATGTCTCATGGAAAAACAATCCTCATCAGAAAGGCCAGGGGAGTGGGCTCAGGTCATACAGGCCCTGGGTTAGAATCACAGAGATCCGAAAACGTGAGGCCAATCACTCAACATCTCTGAACCAGTACCCTTGTCTGCATGATGCCAGCAACTGCAGGACCCACCTCATTTTGTGAGCATAAAATGAGAAGTGCTGGGCTTAGGGCCTGTCATGAATAACTACTATCTACTGCTATTACTGCCAACATCTCCAGAAGACAGAAAGCTTAGTGTAGAAAAGAGTAACTTTTTGAAGAAGAACTACAATTCCACACCACATCATACAAGAAACAACAGAGGTTTGGCACCAGGTGGACCTTGGACTGAACCTCAACTCTACCACTTATGGGCTGTGTGACCCTGGGCAAGTCACTCTACCTCCATAAGCCTTAGTTTCCTCATCTGTAAAATGGGCACAAAAGCACACAACCTCACAGAATTGTTGTGAGGTGAGCACAACACAGGAGGAGTGTCCACAACAGCATCTTACTGTTGGTGTTTAGCAAATGGCAAGGCCCCTATTTCAAGCTGTCCTTGACATCACATTCCATACTCTGCCACTCAGACACCCCTTGTGGTTTTTACCTCAAAGCTGCGTAGACCGCCAGCTTTGAGGACGGAGTCGCAGAGCCCTTCTCAAAGTCCGTACCTTTCCCGGCGTTTCTAGGAGGCAGTGGAGGTGCCTCTGTGGTTGGTGACGTGGGCGAATCTGTGCTTGTGGAGACGAAGATCTGGTTGGTGAAGGCCCCATAAGAGAGCCGCTGTTTGTCCCTCGGAGTGCTGAATCCCGGCAGCGACAGCTTGTCTTGGGGCGAGATACTGGAGGAGTGGCAGAAGCTCTGAGGCCTCGGGGAGCGCTCTTTCTTGATGGGGCTCGGCTGCGGGTGACATAACAGTGCAGTGGGTGAGGCATTCACCGAGGGCTACACTTCGGCTCCATCGGGAAGCGGGGTTCCTGTGGCTCTCTATGTGCTCTGAGGTCAGCCATGACCCAGCCCAAGAAGTGGCTGCGGGACTTGCCCTCCTGATCCTCGCTCGGTTCACCACTATCAGGGTCACATTAGGGAGGCGCTGGTGAGCAATCAGAAGTATTCAGAAGCCTAACGGCACGGTCAACGGTAACTTTCAACTGAACAGATACCTGCCCTCTGCAGGACCCTTGTACTACCACTGAACTGTTTTCTACCCTCGTGTGATCTCTACAGTGTGTTCCTTCCCTGATCAACCCTCTCCCATCAGAGTTCTCAGTCCTCGCCCCCCTTCTCATTTTACATCCCCTTAGAAAGTAGCCTCCACGTTGTGGCCCTGACGATCCATACCTGTGGGTCCAAACCTGACCTTTCAGATCCAAAACTGTCTTCAATGGCCTCTAAGGTGTCCCTCGTGTTTGCGCTCCTGGTGACAGCGGTGGCATCCATGTAACTCCCCAAGGTGGAAGCCTCAAGGTCACCCAGAGCCATCAGGCCCCGTGTGGATAGCTGGGATCTCTGCCTGGTGCAGGCACCCACCAGCCCCCATGGAAAGCCCTTGGTTGCAGCTGCTTTCAGCCCCAGCACGTTTCCCACACTGTGGCCAGAGCTGGTGGGGGAAACCTGCTCTGACAATTAATCTCTGTTGGCTTCTGCCTGCTTGGAGAAAGCCCAAAGGCCAAATTTGGCCCATAATGTGCTTCCCGATCTGGGTTGCCTGACTCTGCAGGGCAGCCTCCTGCCTCTCCCACCCACCCATTTGCAGGCACCTCACACACTGTGCTTCTAACCATTCCTCAGACTTCCAGCTCTATCAGGAACCCTTGGCCTTTGCACATGCTGTTCTCCCTCCCTGGAGGGATGCGCTCCTCCCCACTTTTTGCCTGGCAAGCTCCTCCCTACCCTCAGAAACCCAACTCCAACGGTACTTCCTTGGTAAGGTCTTTACCATTTTCCAAAGCTGAGACAATTTTTCTGTCCTCTGAACATGTCTCAGGGATTCCCCTAAGCTCTTATTATAATGGTTATCCACTGTAATTTATCTCTTCTCAAAGTGGGGAATGTCTTTAGGACACCTTGTAGGACTATTCCTTACATGCTGCCGAGGAAAGAGGAAATGCTCAATACATATCCGATGTGGGGCGCCTCAGTGGGGAAGTCCGCTGGGTGTCCGACTACTCTTGGTTTTGGCTCAGGTTATGATCTCAAGGCCCTGGGATCCAGCCCTGCATTGGGCTCCGTGCTCAACGGGGAGTCTGCTTGAGATTCTCTCTTCCTCTCCTTCTGCCCCTCCCTACTGCCTCTCCAAAATAAATAAATCTTAAAAAAAAAAACCCCACACGTATCTGATGAAAACTGCATGAATGAACTTTCAGAGTTAGTCATGAACTAGGAAAGTCAGACAAAACTAGGTTTAATCCCGAGACTGTCTTTACTAGCTCTGAGACTTCAGGTTGCAAAATCTGTATGTGTCAGTTTTCTCTTCTGTACAATGGGCAATAACAACGCCACAGTGGGCTTTTGGTAAAGATAATCTGAGGTAACACAGGGAACTTGCTTCTAACTGCCTAGTCCATACTTAATTCTCAATACCTCACAACTTTTTATTTACTAAGTAGCTATTCTGATGGCTAATTTTATGTGTTCACTCGGCTGGGCTATGGTGCCCAGGTGTGTGGTCAAATACCAGTCTAGATAGATGCTGTGAAGGGTTAACGTTTAAATTAGATTTTGAATAAAAGGGATTACCCCCCATCATGTAGGCTTCATCCAATTAGTTGAAGGGCTTTTGCAAAGAGACTCAGCACCTCCAGACTCAAGACCACACCATCAATTCCTGCTGGAATCTCCAGCCTGCCAGCCTGCCCGGTACCCTGGGGACTCGCTGGCCCCCACAATCATGTGAGCCACTTCCTAAAAATACATTCCGATCTCTCTCCCTCTGTCTTCAACCACATACTATGGGGTCTGGTTTTCCAGAGAACCCTAATATAGCTGTGGTTCCCAACAAGGATCAAAGACTGAGCAAGGAAACTGGCCCCAGGTGACAAGAGCAGACACAGTCTGATGAAGAATGATCTCGTCTACAGAGTGCAGGCAACCTGGCAGCAGCATCAGGAACTCGGAGGCGCTATTTGCACTCACTTTGTCATCCAGGTCGTCATCACTCTCATCCATCTCCTCCTGTCGCAGGTTCCATTCATATTCCACGTGGACGTGTGGGTTGAACTTCCCAGATTTAGCCTGGGAAAGCTGAAAGGAACAGCAGGTATAACCGCATTCATCTAAGTGTTAAACATCCCACTATTACATAAGCACTGAGCAAATTCCACCTCAGTCCTGGTTTCAAATGAATCACCAGCAGCTGCTTGTAGGGCAGAACTCCGATTACACAGGGCTGGGCTGCTGCGGGACTGGCTTCAGAGGAGTTGCCCAGAATTACAGGCAAGAGCCTTTCTTATTTTGGGAACATGACTTCTCTCGCAAATTAAAAGCTTTCTTAAATATTATTAAAAATGAACCTCAAAAGTGCAAAATCCTGGCTGGAAGGCAAAATCAGAGTCAGTGAAGCATGAGACGTAAGTTTTTCAAGCCAGACAGTCTCAGTTCGATCTGTGGCCCACTTTTCTTCTCCACAAGATGGGGGCAGGGAGTACTATAGCTTCTTCACAGGATTCTCGTAAGAACAGAAACCTACAACTGCTGGCCTGCAGCCGGTGCTGGGCAGAAACTCAAGGGGATGGGACTTACCTTTCCTGTCTCATCCTTCCCCATGGGTGAAAGAACCATGCCGGGCTAAGGCTCAGAGTGATACTCAAGAACCAATGGGATCAAAAGGATGGGGCTGGCGGGGGAAGCCATGCATTTAACGTTTCGACAATCATTAAACTCTGAACTCTACTTGCCCAATTTTTGGAATTGGCTTCCAAATAATTCTTCTTCACTACTGAGCTGCAGAGAAAGCCTAAGGGTCTGGCATATAAGAAGCACGACCTTAATGCACAAGCCTGTCACATGCCTTTTAGCTCCTATGTCATAACTGTACCGAAAAGACACAGGAATGACAAATCTATCATTCTACCACTTTCTCAAACGTAGCCCTAGTGCTTGTCTGAATTTCTTTTGCCAATGTTCAGAAAGATGAATGTTTCCTTCACCCCAATTCCAGTTTCTGAGAATGACATTTTAAGGCGGTTGGTGCCAAATGGATGGCCCTCCTCCATTCTGCTTACCAGATCTTCACACTGGGTAGCTTTCAGTCTCTTTGCTATGTCCAGGGCAGTCTCCCCAGCCTGGTTCACTAAAACAGGGAAAAGAAATCTAAGGTATATCTTGAAAAGGCTACGGACAATAATCAAATTACAACGTAACATGCGAGTCTTGGTTTTAGCCAACCGGATGCTGACTCCTGTTATTAAGACACTTGGTCACACTCTTACCGACACCCACGGTGGGTTTGCTCCTGAGAAGCAGCTTCAAACACTCGGGTTTACTGTACATACTGCAGTAGTGTAGGGCCGTGTTGCCCAGGGCCGTCTGCTTGTCCAGGTTCCCACTGAAAAATTAAAATACTATCAGAAAAAAGTACAACTTAAAATAGAACTTAATTAGGACATAAATAATATAATTTAAAGCTACAGGTTAACCACTTATTTCTGTGCAAACAACGGAGTCAAACTTGAGACCTACTTATGAGCAGGGCAAACAAGGATGCGGCTAACATTACACCTACACTGATAAGCCACCTAATGATAGCAACAGCCAGCACTGCTTGAGTGCCTCCTGAGGGACACTCTCAGCTTTTACGTACCTTGGTTCATTAAATCTTCACAACCACCCTATGGGGTAGGTTATGACCACCTCTGTTTTACAGATGAAAACACCGAGGCACAAAGAGGATGAAGTATGGGCTTTCAAGACTATCAAGGCACGGAAGACGGAGCAGGGATTTGAAAAAAGGCAGTTTGTCCTGGAGCCAACGCTCTTAACTACTACACTGTACTACCTCTAAGGAAGAGGTGTGGACATTTATAAAACGTGGCTTGTGTCCAGGCACCATTCTTCATATGTGGGTTCAGATCCTCTTGCTGTTTTGACCACTCGTCTTTGGATGAGCTCCAGTTCCTCCTAATAATCTGTGGCTTACAGAACTACCCACTGAAGAATATAGCAAGTTCAAACTTCCTGTGTTCAATACTGTACTATTAGTATGTTCCAAATTTGAATTAGCTATTGAGTCAGCCACACACACTGTAGTTTTTTTGTTTTTATTTTTTCTTTAAGATTTTATTTATTTGAGAGAGAGAGAGAGAGAGAGAGAGAGAAAGAGCATGAGTGGGCATGGGGAGGGGTAGAGGGAGAGGGAGAAGCAGACTGCCTGCTGAGCAGGGAGCCTGACACAGGGCTTGATCCCAGGACCCCAGGATCATGACCTGAACTGAAGGCAGATGCTTAACCGACTGAGCCACTTAGCGCCCTGACACGGCAGTTTTATAATGAACTTATGAACAATGAAAATTCACAGATCCTGTTGACTTGTGCTATTAAGTCTTCCCTCTTTCAATTTTTCCTAATTCAGCAGGTTTTGACAGAGACAGGATTTTACATTCTTTCTAGGCCAAGGTTTGGCAAACTATAGCCCATAGGCCATGTCTGGCCCTCCATTTGTTTTTATAAATAAAGCTTTATTGGAATATGGCCATGCTCACTCATTTACATATGGTCTATGGCTGCTTTCACACTACAATGGTAGAGTTGACTAGTTGCGACAGAGACCTCATGGCCTGCAAAGCCTAAAATAGTACCTGGCTCTTTATAGAGAGCTTGTCGATTCCTGATCTGGGTCCCTGAGAAGACTGGTTCGTGTTAACTTATAAGGAGTATTTAGAGAAAATGAAAACCATACCAGTTTTGTACAAGGAAGTCAACCAAATGGAGAGATGTCTGGTCTGCAGTTCGGACTGCAAGATGCAGGGCTGTCTCCCCAAGCTCCTGAAAAGGACAGGATGAGTACAAGTAGGGTAATCGCATGTCCTACTTTGCCTAAGGCAGCTTTATTCACAACAGTTACCTGGAAGCAATTATTAATAGTACTCCTTTCACTCTCAAATTGTCCTGATTTAGACATGGTCACTCAATGTATTAGAATCTCATTATCTTTTAAACTCATTTTCCACATTCCTTTTTTATCCTATGATTTTAGTGGAGCCTTACCTGTCCAGATTCCAGCAGTGGTTCCATCAGCTCCACTCCCTCTGCATAGACTTGAATTAGTGCAAGTAAATCCCTGGATTTGATGGCCTCGAGCAATTCATTCAGTTTAGCTGATGAAGATGAACAGGCCTTCCTTGAAAACCTATGATCTACATACTTCGCAGTGATATATTCTTTCCGTACAGTCCTGAAACAGGACAAATCAATATAAGCAAAGATTTTTTTTTCCCTACAAGCTAAGAAAAATCTACAATTTCCTGAAGAACAGTTTTCTTTAAGTGAAGATATATTCTCCTAGACTCCTTTCAGGATTTAAACAAACCAGGTTTTAAATTTTTTTTTTTTAAAAGATTTTATTTATTTATTTGAGACAGAGAGAATGAGAGAGAGAGCACATGAGGGGGGGGAGGTCAGAGGGAGAAGCAGACTCCCCGCAGAGCAGGGAGCCCGATGCGGGACTCGATCCTGGGACTCCGAGAGAGAGAAAATGAGAGACAGAGAGCATGAGAGGGAAGAGGGTCAGAGGGAGAAGCAGACCCCCCGCTGAGCAGGGAGCCCGATGCGGGGCTCGATCCAGGGACTCCAGGATCATGACCTGAGCCGAAGGCGGTCGCTTAACCAACTGAGCCAC